TGTATATATCTTGAAAGCATTTAAATTATTATTTTCATGAACTTTAAAATATTGACACAAATTCCAAGACATTTTATTTGAGCTTGAATATAACCTTATAATTTATACAAGTTCCAAATACATTTCGAAATTAATGAAGCCCCATTTGAATAATTAAATCATTAAATCACATGCAAATCTTCTTTCTAATTAAAAAATTTAAAAAAAAAAAAACTTCTGAACATTTACAAATATATTGCAAATCTGGCAACATAATTTGAGATATTATGAACATTTATCATTTAAACTGTTTTGGTCTTCATGTATTAAAGCCTCAATTGCTCCTGCTTTATTTCGTTTCCATGTATTAAAATATCAAATTTCAAATTCATAAATACACGAGAAGCATACGCAAGAACCAAACAACAATTGGCGCTGTTTGCGGATTGAAAGCTATAACTACAGTAATTAGATTTGAACCAAATAAAGTTCAAAGATCCCAAGATAAATGATCGGACATTGTTTTACAGTATTCTATCACACAAGTGTTGAGGAAGGTGGAGACCCGGTCCACTTCCTATTACGATAGATTCTTTGATAAATTGATTCTAATTTATCTGCTCTTAATTCTTTTTCTTATGTATTTTATTCCCTGCCATAGCTTGATGATTCCCAATTTTTATTTAAAGCAATTGTCTTCTATTGACAGGAAGAATTAAGAAAAACTTAATTAATTAAGTTTTACCAGATTAATTTCCCGCCCCTCCTGTTATAGAAAAAAAAAACAATGAATTTGATAGCTTGCCTTAATGGGCTTTATATGGGTCATTAAAGCATGATTCCATGGATTCACGAAATTAAGGATTACCAAAACAAGCTGGATACTGTGAAGCTTTAAAAGGGGCCTCACGATTACAGGGATACGTATTACTCTCCAAACAGTTTAAAATTATCTTTTCTTCTTCTCGGTGTGACTCTCGGTTTAGAGAGAGAGAGAAGGTGAGAGAGAGAGAGAGAGAGAATTCTTTCTTGTAAGTCGACGTGGTCGACGGTGTAATCCTCAAAGCTAATAAAATCCTCTGCAGCTCCGTGGACGTAGGCA